CTTTATTGATTTTCTGCTTCGATGATCTGTCTATTTCTGAGAGAGACGTGTTAAGATCTCCTACTATTAATGTATTCATATCAATATGACTCTTTATCTTGACTAACAGTTTTCTTATGTAATTGGCTGGTCCCATATTGGGGGCATAGATATTTACAATTGTTAGATCATCTTGGTGGATAGTCCCTTTAAGAATGATGTAGTGTCCTTCTGTATCTCTGACTACAGTCTTAAGTTTAAAATCTAATTTATCTGATATGAGAATTGCTACCCCGGCCTTCTTTTGAGGCCCATTTGCATCATAGATGCTTCTCCAACCCTTCACTTTCAGTCTGGGTATATCTTTAGGTTCTAAATGGGTCTCTTGTAGACAACATATGGATGGGTCCTGTCGTTTTATCCAATCTGCAACCCTGTGTCGTTTTATGGGTGCATTTAGGCCATTCACATTGAGAGTTTTCAGTTATTATTAACTCAGATAAATCTGGCTCCTTTTTTCTCTCTTCTGTGATTCCTATGATACAAATATTATGTTGGATGGAGTCCCTGAGTTGCCTATGTCTATTCTTTTGATGCATAATTCTTCTTTCTCTCTTTAGTTTATCCTTATTGTTTTCCATTATTCTATCTTCTATGTCATTGATTCATTTTTCTGCTTCTTTCATCCTGCCTTTGCATTGAATCTGTTTTAAATCTAAGTTATTTTATTTTTCTTTTTTGACAGATTGTTTTTTAACTATTTTATCTCTGCAGTAGGGACCTCCCTAAATCTTTCATTCTTTTTGTCAATCCCACCTAGAATATTATGAAGGTTGCTTTAAATTCCCCATCAGGCATATTAATTATATCTGTTTTGCTTAGATCTCTGCTGAGACCTAATATTTTTGTTTCATTTCAGAGGATTTCCTGAGTCTGGAAATTTTTTCTGTCACTGTCTTCTCTGTGTTAGGTTAGCGTGTTTTGTTTCCTGATCCTGAGAGGAATGACTTTATGAAAATAAGAATTCATATGGTATCTAGAGACTGATGCTTCAGGGACTGTCTCTGTTGTATTCTGCATATATTTTTCTGCTGTGTTTTGGTTGTGCTCTCTTTCAGGATGGTCATCTTCTGAGGCTGTCCTTGCCTGATGTGGTCAGTTTTTGAAACTCTGTCAGAGTGTGGCAAGTTTTAACTAGGTGTGCTCTTATCTGCTTCTGAAATGAGGCCTGATTTTAGTTCCATTAGAACTGAATCCTTGCAGAACTCTCTGGTAGGGAGACAAGCTGTAGATAGCCTTTCTGCTGGTCCTCTGAGTAAGAGGCCTACTGTCTTGGGACTGAGGAAGGCTTGACAGAGAAAATCAGTGGAGGCAGAGCACTGGGATGTGAAATCTTGTGTAAGCATGTTAGGCAGCCAGTGTCAGCATCGTGGTGTTTACTGAAGGTAATTCTGTGTTTATGTTGAGGGGTTTGGAGGAAAATGGGCCTAGTCAATTCCCTTTTCTCCAGAGAGGTTTCTCCATTCCTGCTGTTCTCAAGGAAGCACTCCCAGTACTGTGATTAATCTCCCCAATATGTCCTGGGGGTTTCCCAGATCCTCTTTTTCATGCAGTGTTCCTCGGGGTTGTTTACCTGTCTACTTTCAGGAGTAAGATAGTTCCCTCAGGGCTATATTCCAGGGGTGTCCTTTGATCTTTAAAACTCCAGTCTTTAAAGCCTACTTTTAAAAAAAAGGCAATAACAACAACAACAAAACAGCCAACCAAACAAACACACAAAGAACAACAACAAGAACAACAAAACACACACACAAACACAAATCAGCCTGTCTCTTTCCACACCATGACTTTGGGGAAGTGTCCTCCTTGTGTCTTCCCTGGTGTGTTCCTCTCTCTCTCTGTCTCTTACCTTTCTCTGCAACCAGGACCCCCTCCCTCCACAGCATCTGTGATCTATTTCTTTCCCAAACCATGTCTCTGAACTTCCTACCTACCTCAATGTGACCCTTTCTCTCCCTTTAATTGTGGATTTGTTCTGTCTTCCTCATGTTTATTTACCAGGAATACAGAATAATTTGATATCTAATTGTGTTTGAAGAATGAAAGAAGCCTGGGGTCCTCTTACAATGTTGCCATCTTAGCTCGGAAGCAGGCAATCTTGATGAGGAAAAAGCTGGAAGTATCAGCCTTCTGGATTTCATGGTATAACATATAGCTATAGTACTCAAAACAGTGGTTTACTAGCACAAAGTAGATACATACATAGATCAGTACAACAGAACAGAAAGCCTACAAACAACTCCATACTTACATGGTGAATTATTCTATGACAAAAGAGGCAAGAAAACACAATGGGAAAAATGTCCCTTCTATAAATGGTGTTGAGAAAACTAAGAAGATAGTTGAAAAAGAATAAAATTTGATTAAATGTAAGCTCTAAATCATAAAACTCTTAGAGGAAATATAGGCACTGAGTTCTTGACATCAGTCTTAGCAAATTCACTTGAATCTGTTAAATCAGGCAAGGAAAAGAAAAACAAAAATTAATAGGACTACCTCAAACTAAAAAACCTTAGCACAACACAGGAAACCATTAACAAAATGAAAGGGTAACCTATTGAATGGGAATAGATATCTTCATATGATATATCTGATAAGGGATTAACATACAAAATATATAACAAACTCAAATAAATCAATATCAGAAATTCAAACAATCCAATTAAAAATGGGCATAACCAGACTAATGTCAAAAAAGACATACAGATGGCCAACATTTACAGGAAAAGATGTTACATATCACTAACCACTAGGGAAACATCTACTATCAAAACCACAATAAGATATAATTTCATGCACATCACAATGACTGTTATCAAAAGGAAGGGTATAACAAATGTTGCTGTAAATGTGGAAAGGGAGTACTGTAACCTCTTGGTGGGAATATAAATTGGTGCACCCAATATTGAAATAAAAGTTTCATGCTTCTCAAAAGAATGAAAATGGAATTACCATATTATTCTGTAATTCAAATACAAAATATTTATCATGACAAAATAAGAACAGTACTGCAAAAAACTGTATGCTGTTCCCTATGTATATCAGAGCATTTTATACAGTGAAGCAAGACATGGAGGTAATGTAAATGTCCAAAGATAGATATATGATAAAGAATATATGAATATAGATATGTATATATAGAGAAATAGATAACAGATACAGACATAGGTATACTTATAGACAAACTTTATATATATATATACTCCATATATATATATAAATATAAATATATATATTTATATTCCATATATATATATGGAATATCTCCCTGGGCAGCGTTGGAAGGTCAAGTCTCAGAGCTCTGTGAATCATGGCACAGGTTATCAAAAGTCTGTTAGGAATCTCTATGTAGTTGAAACTTGTGCTTATCTCTTATGTAGCTGCACAACACTTGGCTCTCACTCAAAATTTATAATTCCCAGTCCTATCTATAATGAGATTCACTGCCTTCAAAGAGCAATGAACTGTCAGAAGTTTTACTTCCATTCTCTAACTTCGTGTATTTCTTTTTAAAGGTAAACGTCAGGAAGAACATGGTAAGTCATCCATTACTTCCCTGTATTGACAGTCTCTAAAAATATAAGAAAATAAATAGCAATTTAGGTTTTGGAATTGTGCATTTCCTCCCTTTTTTCTGAATTAGGTTGTCCAAGTGTCCATTAGCTCTGTTATATCATTACATCTATAATTCCTTGAAGTTTGCAATTATAGCCTGGATTCTACAGAGAGGTGACCTGGTTAAAATGTGGGCAATGTAGAAGGGACAAGATGGCGGGGAAGTAGGAGGAGGCGCCTTTTCAACCTGTACCCTAAAGTGAGCTGATTACCTACCAAAGAACTCTGATCGCCCATGAAATCAGCCTGAGATCAGAATTATACACATCTGGATTTCTACAGGGGCAGAAGACGCCAGTGGGCAGGTAAAGTGGAGTGGGAAAGGTGGACTGATATCAGAAGATAAACAAAAGGGGGAGGGAGCCATCAGAGGTGACCGGTTGGAAAGTAATACCCCTAATATGAGTGAGAGTACCCTGCATCTGGGGACTAGCATTAACTTGGAGACTGGTTGAAAGGACTCCAAAAGAGCAAAAGATTGCGAGGGGAAATTGTGGGAATCAGGGCAGCTAGGGACAGGGGCTTAAGTCCCCAGTCCCAGGACAGCCTCCCCTGGCGCTGAGCCAGAGAGAGTGGGGTGGAGAAACCAGGTCTTGGTCCCTGAGCCGCCAGCGTGCCCAAGATTGTGTGGGTTCTGGCCCGTGTGAGGGGATGGGAGCCACGCCGGACGGCAGAATGTGTGAGCCTTGCTACAGAACCTGAGATGCACGCACCCCTCATCCTGCCCTGAGAGAGGTACAAAGGCCCAGCCAGCACTCTTTGACATGCGCCATTGTTTCAGAGCCTAAGACACGCGCCCCAAACTCTCCCCTGAGAGAGGTGCGCGAAGGCCCAGCCTGGTGCTTTCAGACCTGCGCCCCCGTTCTCAGAGCCTGAGACGCGCGCGCGACCAACAGCCTTCCCTGAAAGAGGTACATGCAAGCCGGGCGCTCTTAGACCCAGAAAGACCAGGCACTCCCAGCCCGGGCCAGCGGAAAAATCTCAGTGTGCGATCGCTGCTTGCAACCTCTCTGGCTGTCTGGAGCTGCCCAGACAGCCGCCACTGCCATGGTTTTGGGTACAAACAGAAGCTCCTGTGTCCCCAGGGACCGCGACTCAGAACCTGCTATGCCAGAGGCCAAGGGCTCTGCATATATGGGCTCTGCAACACCCACAGAAGAACAGACTGAGGCTTCTCTCTGAGAGGGAAGTCAGGCTGCAGTTTGCTTTCCTCTAACCCTAGAAAAACCATCAAAAGCGGTCAAGGCGAGAGGGGGAAAAAAAAAAAAAAGGGGAACAAAAAAAAAAACCCCCAAAAAAAAAAAAGCCTAAAAAAACCGGTTTCCTCAGACCCCCCCCCCTTGGGGGGGACTGGAGGACTTAACTCAGGGAACATCATTGACTAAAAACCCACGTGGCAGGCCCCTGCCCCAAAAAACCAACCAGGAAAGGAAAAAAAAAAAAAAAAGACTACAAGAGAACCACCACCACTACTTCATAGGATAACTTTTATTTGTTCCCATTATTCTGGATCATTTTTTAAATATAGATAATTTTTAACCTATTTACCATCACAGTGACTGTCCAGTACATCAAATTCCATAATAACCATCTAACCTGAACTTTTTGATACATACACCTGTGTTTTTCCTTTGCATTTCTATTTTTTGAATTTTTTTTAATTTTAGTTTAGTTTAGTCTAGTTTATTCCTTTTTTATTTTTATTTTCTAATATTCATATAGAGTTAAACTTCAAAGTAATCCCCTTTCCCCAATCAATACTACCCCTATAGGTAAACTAATTTTTAATCCCCCTTTAGCTTAGGAAAGTTGAGTCCTTTAACAAAAATATAAAGATACATCCAGGAAGAATCAAAACAACCTTCCTCGACCACACTGAGAATTTATAACCACTCTCCCATCTTTTTCTTCCACCAGTGTTTCTGTGTTTTTGTGTTTGTCCTGATAGTATATAAATATTACACTTGGGGTTCTTTTCAACAAGGTTCTTCCTTTATTTGCATATATATATATTTTTTTTCTCTGTTATATAGTTTTATCTGTCTTTTTGTTTGTATACCTCATAAATCTTACCTTGGGGCCCATTTAGGCTGAACCTTCTCTTTCATCTTCCCTTTCTTTCCTGTCTCTCTCTCTCTCTTTTTTTTTTCTTTTTTTCTTTTTCTTTTCTTTTTTCTCTCATTTGGGTGGGGAATCCTGATTGCTCAGAAGTGTTCCAGGGTGCAACCAGACTGTACCACGGTGGATACATCGAGCTACATCTGTTCAGTCATCTCTCACCAAAATGACTAGGAGGAGGAATGTGCAACAGAAGAAAAATACAGAGGATGGACCTTCTGCAACAGAGCTAATAGCTATCAACATAGACAATATGTCGGAAAGAGAATTCAGGCTAACAATTATCCAGGCAATAGCTAGGTTGGATAAAGCCATGGATGACCAAACAGAATGGATTAGGGCCGAGCTGAAAGCGACCAGACAGGATGTTCACAATGTTAGGGCAGAGCTAAAAGCTACCAGGGCTGAGGTTCACAATGCTCTCAATAAGTTCCAATCAAATCTAAATTCTCTCAAAGCTAGGGTAACTGAGACAGAAGATAGAATTAGTGATCTGGAGGACAAACATATAGAAAGGATCAAGAGGAAGCCTGGAACAAACAGCTTAGAAACCATGAAAACAGAATCAGGGTAATAAATGACGCCATGAAACGTTCCAACATCAGAATTATTGGAATCCCTGAAGGGGAGGAGAAAGAAAGAAGTCTAGAAGATATAGTGGAACAAGTTCTTCATGAAAATTTTCGCAATCTTGGGAATGGAACCAGAATTCATGTACTAGAGAATGAACGGTCTCCACCCAAGTTTATAGATTCCAGAAAAACATCAAGGCACCTGATAGTCCAATTGAGGAATCATAATTGTAGATATAATCTCTTGAAAGCTATTAGGACAAAGAAGCTCCTTACTTACAGAGGAAAGCTGATCAGAATAACGTCAGACCTGTCCACAGAGACCTGGCAAGCCAGAAAGGGCTGGCAAGATATATTCAGGGCACTAAATAAGAAGAACATGCAGCCAAAAATACTTTATCCAGCAAGACTGATATTCAAAATGGATGGAGAGATAAAGAGTTTCCAAGACCGGCAAGGCTTAAAAGACTATGCAACCACCAAGCCGACAATCTAGGAAATATTAAGGGGGGTTCTATAAAAGAGGAAAACTCCTAAGAATAGCATTGAACAGAAATATAGAGACAATCTACAGAAAGAAAGACTTCAAAGGTAACACGATGTCAATAAAAACGTATCTATCAATAATCACTCTCAATATGAATGGCCTAAATGAGCCCATAAAACAACACAGGGTTGCAGATTGGATAAAACGACAGGACCCATCCATATGGTGTCTACAAGAGACCCATTTAGAACCTAAAGATACACCCAGACTGAAAGTGAAGGGATGCAGAAGCATCTTTCATGCCAATGGGCCTCAAAAGAAGGCTGGGGTAGCAATTCTCATATCAAATAAATTAGATTTTAAGCTAGGGACTGTAGTCAGAGATACAGAAGGACACTACATCATTCTTAAAGGGACTATCCACCAGATGATCTAAAAATTGTAAATATCTATGTTCCCAATATGGGAGCAGCCAATTACATAAGAAAACTGTTAGTCAAGATAAAGAGTCATATTGATATGAATACATTAATAGTAGGAGATCTTAACACGTCTCTCTCAGAAATAGACAGATCATCGAAGCAGAAAATCAATAAAGAAACAAGAGCATTGAATGACACATTGGACCAGATGGACCTCATAGATATATAGAGAACATTCCACCCTAAAACAACTGAATACTCATTCTTCTCAAGTGCACATGGAACCTTCTCCAGAATAGAGCACATACTGGGTCACAAATCAGGACTCAACCGATACCAAAGGACTGAGATTATTCCCTGCATATTCTCAGATAACAGTGCTTTGAAACTGGAGCTCAATCACAAGGAAAAGTTCCGAAGGAACTCAAACACCTGGAAGCTAAAGACCACCTTGCTTAAGAATGCTTGGATCAACCAGGAGATCAAAGAAGAACTGAAACAATTCATGGAAACCAATGAGAATAAAGACACTTTGGCCCAAAACCTATGAGATACAGCAAAGGCGGTCCTAAGGGGGAAATACATAGCCATCCAAGCCTCCCTCAAAAAAATTGAAAAATCCAGAACACACCAGCTGTCTCGACACCTCAAAGAACTGGAGAATCAACAACAAATCAAACCAACTCCACACATAAGAAGGGAAACCATCAAGATTAGAGCTGAGATCAATGAAGTAGAAACCAGAGATACAGTAGAATGGATCAATGAAACTAGAAGCTGGTTTTTGAAAGAATCAATAAGATTGATAAACCGTTGGCCACACTAATCCAAAAGAAAAGAGAGAAAGCCCAAATTCATAAAATTATGAATGAAAAGGGATAGATCACAACTAACACCAAGGAAATAGAAACAATCATCAGAAGTTATTATCAACAGTTATATGCCAATAAGCTAAGCAAGCTAGATGAAATGGATGCATTCCTGGAAAACTATAAACTCCCAAAATTGAACCAGGAAGAAATCGACCACCTAAATAGACCGATATCTAGTAACGAGATTGAAGCAGTAATCAAAACCTCCCAAAAAACAAGAGCCCAGGACCTGATGGATTCCCTGGGGAATTCTACCAAACTTTCAAAGAAGAAATAACAACTCTTCTCCTGAAGCTGTTTCAGAAAATTGCAGCAGAAGGAAAACTTCAGACTCTTTCTATGAAGGCAGCATTACCCTGATCTCCAAACCAGGCAAAGACCCTACCAAAAAGGAGAATTTCAGACCACTATCACTGATAAATATGGATGCTAAGATTCTCAACAAGATCC